TTATTGTTGAAAACAGTTGCTTAATATTTTATGTGGAAAAAGTGTAGAATCTTTGATAAAAAGAAAGTTCAAAAGAAAAACATTTATTTAAATAGAAATATTTTGTAACAATGTAAAAGTCTCACTTTCACTTTTGATCAATTTAATGCATCCTTGCTGAGCCCAAACTTATATGTACTTCTTAATACAAAAAAGGGCCGAAAATGTAAACTATAAGTAAGTTTTACATTCTTATAAACACTAATCTTTACAAACTATGCATTGTTTATGTACACTAGCAAATAACTGAATATATTCAGGGGTGCACATACGTTTTTTAGCCTGGTTCTCATAAGAGAACCTGGAGATTTGATTTGGTCCTCACACTGCACATAGTGTGACCCATTAAATATAACTATAAAAAAATTAATAAATAATAATGATACTATTATTGCACTTTACTTAGTTATTTTTTTAAATAAAATAATAAACAAAATATTAAAGTGTGATAATACTATTATATTTTAAAGTAAAAGGGAGCATTAAATACAAATACAATTATTTTATAGTAAACTTAAAAATAAAATGCTAATATTCCCTTCATTTTTTTTATATATGAATTTATCATTTTCAAGTTTAAAATCAGCAGGCTTTTATTTTGGTGGGTTGCCAGCAAGTTAGTATATGTGCTTCTGGGTTTAGCGCTGCCGATTGAAGAGCGTCCGTGAATGAAATGTCACAGTTTTGCACTGTGCTTTGAAAACGGCAGCGGGTAGCCTAGATTTAAGCTTTCAATTTGAATAGAAATCCTATACAGTACAGTACTTTGTCGATCTAAAATGGTAATTGTGCATTAACAGCTGTCATCCATGTCGGTACACAAATGCGCTGTCAGAACTTATTTATACAGCACATTTTTTTATTTTGGTCGCACATGCGGACCACGTATGTGCACCCCTGAATATATTCTTTATGCTAAAAATCTACAAAGTGTATCTACAAAGTGTATCTAAAAAAAAATAATAATAAATTCTTACGACAAAAAAAAAAAGTTCTAGACTTTATAAAAGTACATACTTCCATTTTTATATTATTCTAAAATGGGAAAAACTGTAATTATGTGTGTCCAAACTTCCAACTGGAGTTATTGTTTTAAGACTCTTTTCTCAGCATATCACCAATATATTAGAGGCCCCACGAATACGGAGTCTTTATAGTCGAAAACAGTCCATGACACCCACATACAGATGAGAGAGATGGGAGGCCCTTACTCCCAGGTGTCTCACAGCTGCACAGGTGTGCTGCAGACAGATCAGACTGATGGCTGGAGGGAAGAAGGGTCTGCACAAACAAAGGGAAGAAGGATCCTACAACATTGCACAAGACGATCACAAGCACACAGATCCCTATCAGTGATCCACTGCACCTGCTCAGGAAAATGCAAGCCGCCTTTGCCTCTTTATACCAACTCTCTCTGTCCTATGCTTCAGTCTTCTCACAGCCTGAGAAGTGTGCACTACAGTTCACACCCGGCTGAGGGTCTTTGGCTGGTCACTGCTGTTTGCCTGTCCGGGGTCATTTGAAGTGCTCTGACCTTAAACCTCTTACACTCAAACATGTGGTGGAGAACACGGCTGTGTCGTTCCCAGGGCCTCTCTAATGCTATCTCTCTCCCTTTTATCTACACTCCTGCCAGAAGAAGTGTTATTTAAAGCAGGGCACCCCAGGGACTTCTGAAATGTTTTTCCCTCATTAGGACACTAGAAGACAACATAATGATTCATGGTTAATTATATGAGCTGTAAATAATATCATCTCATCTTAAAGAGTATCATGTGGTATAAGTGTCTCTTCCAAGAATCCAACAAACAAAAGAAAAAATGACTCGTCTGATTAACTGATGTCATTATTTATCAACTCCATATGAAGCCATATACTGGAAAACAGGTTTTTACTCACTCTGGGGTACCAACCTAAATATGCTAGTATTATTTCTATACTATTATAGCATTTATTAATGTTTTGAATTAGCTTTTATTTTTGCATTTTGAGTTTTCATTTTAATTTATGTTTTAGTAATTTTATTACGAGTTTCTGTCCTTTTTATAATATATATTTTTTAATTCTACACTCTAAAAAATGCTGGGTTAAATACAACCCAGCATTGGGTAAAATATGGACAAACCCAGCGATTGGGTTGTTTTGACCCAGCAGTTGGGTTAAATGTTTAACCCAACCTACTGGATAGTAACCCAAATGCTGGGTCAAAACAACCCAATCGCTGGGTTTGTCCATATTTTACCCAACGCTGGGTTGCATTTAACCCAGCATTTTTTTAGAGTGTATATAACTAATTATTTTTTGTTTCAGTTTTGGTTTTAGTACTTAAACTTATTTTATTTCAGTTAGTTGCCAAGGCAAGTTTTTTTTTTTTTCTTTCTTTTTTTTTACGTTTTTTTCATCGAATATTTATATTTTATTTTATTTCAGCTTTATTTCAATAACCAAAAATTATTTTTAATGGTTTTAGTTAACTATAAAAAGAGATAGTTCACCCAAAAATGAAAATCCTGTCATCATTTACTTTTTGGTGCAATAAATCTTGATTAGCATTACAAGTGGAAAAAATACATAAAGTGCTATGAATGTGCAGAAAATGACACTTTTAAATACTCTGAGTCAAGTCAAAATGGACCCTGATTGCTTTAACATCCAAAACATTTGTGCCATATCAAAGCTGTCTTTCCAATATTATAGACTGGGAAAAATAGGAACTTCTGATATTGCATTCATAAAAAAGCTCATGTGATTAAACAGTCTGCTCTGCACTGAGCAAAGGAAGCAAACGCACTAATGTGGTGTGTGGTAAAAGGGTGCAGAACAAAAAGGGGAAGATAACAGATAGATCTGGCTGAAAGAGAGAAACAAAAAGAGAGAAAGAGTAATGTATGAGTTTCAGGGCAGCAGAGACAGTGGTAGATGTTTAGAGGCTGGAGGTTAACCACAACATCCTCAGCACATTGGAGGGGAATTGGAGGGAACCGTCCAAAATAGAGGGAGGCTTTTTATGGTGCATGAAACACCCATATTATATAATTTCATCTCATCACTGCGCTGTTCATTTCCTCTGATGTGCGGAGTCTGAGGGGGACAGGGAGAAAATGAGGAGACAGGACTATAAAGAGACGGGAAAGATGAGGAATTCCCCCATGTGCTCGTCCTGTGGTCAAATCCTAACATGACACACTTTAGTCAGGGTGAAGGGTGCATATATTTGTATGTACAGGGGGTACATTTCTAAGTAACCATTCCCAGCATACCCCTGAATACTGAATTATAAACACTGGCGACAGTAATATAGGGTAAAATGGTCAAATGCAATTATATGAAAGATAATAGGTGATTGTCTCAAGACAGTCTTGATCGTATTCAAAACCATCTGTTTTTAACAGATCCATGCAAAAGGTCCAACACAGAGACAAGCTCTTTTGTTCTGGTGCAGAGAAGGGAATTTAAATCAGATGTGATGGACTCTTTTCACATGTGTTTTGTCTATAAGAATGAGACAATATGTCATGTGTCAAATGGCAAAATTGAGGATTACTAAATTACACACCCTGACTACAAGTACTACTATAAAAAAAAGTTAAAAAGTATAAATATGAAATATTCTATATAAAATTATGAAAAATAAACAGTGACCAATTAGTGATTAAATAATATTTAATAGATTAAATAGAAAAATACTGATTTTGATATATATATATATATATATATATATGAATATATGAAGTATATTTTCAGATTTAGATTAATTTAGAATTTAGTTTTACAAACAACATTCAACAGAAATAAAATAAATAAATAAATAATAATATTTAAAACTAGGGAGCCTTGATTTAATACTGATTTTTTTAGAAATTTCCGGACAAAAAAAGGCTGTTCAAAACTTGCTGGCACGATGCACTATAGGTGGTTGCCAGGGTGTTGCTAAGCAGTTGTTATGGTGTTTTGAGAAACTCTTTCTATTAACAATAATAATCATTTACGACTTATTGAAGCAATGGTTTTCATTTGCTAATCTGCGTTCAATTAAATTCTGCACATGACTTAGCAGCAGCATGTAAATATATTTATAATAATGTAAATATGTGATATTATTTGGGCAGTAGCCAAATGATAGAAACTACCAACACTGGATGAGCAATACTCCATAGAAGAATGAAAAATCTAGTCTATAAAACACACACAGACAGCATTAGACCACTATTATGAAGACCACTTGATATGATTTAATCTAGACTTTAAAAACTATCCATATATGAAATATAGGAAGCATTAAAACACACAATCTTCCAATATTTTCCCCAATCTAAATCTTACTTTCCCCTCTGGCTGAAGGACTAAATATGGTGATGTAATATATGAATGAGTGGCATCTCATCCAGCTCACGCACACATCTGACTCTCTGCCAGCTAAATGACTCAAATACATATAAATACACATGCTAATTAAACATTATAGTTTAAGAGGGGCAGTCATAGCCACTCTGCAGGGTTACACCCACAACCTACAACCTAGATCTGCAACAGAGAGGGTTGTGGTGACAAGCCATCATTTCAGTTGCTTACTTTCTTTTGAAAGCTAGTGGAGTGTGCAAACTCAACTCAATAGAAGACCTATTTTATTCTTTTCTTTTCTGTAATGGAGCGTGCCATCACCAACCAGAGCCACCTCCATACAAGATTTCCCCCAATTAAGTTAATATAGACCTACAGCAGCCTACAAAACCAATGCAGCTGTGATGATAGGGCTGTATTCTGACAAAACAGTTAAACGTGATCAGCTACAGAAGCTGATTTTATTATTATACTTTTTTAATAATAAAACTACACTCTACGGCATTGCACAGTTAAAGGAACGACAATGACTTTTCAATGCAGGAGTGACTCTACATTTTATGCATGTAGAAAATGCCATTTGATCATGATCAGAGTGATGAGAAAGATGTTTTAGGTACCTGTCGGCGTCTCCCTGGCCGGTGGAGGCATTACGCTGCAGACTTTCCCGTACCATTGCCATTCCATCCGGCATCCGGTTCAATCGCCGCGTATACAGACTCAACCCCCCATCCGTCATGTACCTGAGAAAACACACACAAACAGAGATCCAACAGTACTCATTCAATTAAAATTGTTATATGAAATGTGGACATAAAGAACATTCAAAAGCAATGAAAGTGTTCACAGATACTGTACAAAATAACCATTGACTAATGAAAACCACAGGCTTTGAGGTCTCACAGATTTTGCAATGAATGAATAAATAAATACTAGTCATTAACTCAAAACAAACAATATAATATAATATAATATAATATAATATAATATAATGATAGATAATAAAATTATCTAGATGTCTCTGACATATTAATTGTTAAATAAATAAATTAACTGCTAATAAATAAATAAATACTACAGTCATTAATCCAAAACAAATGACTAAATGAAAATATATAATATAATATAATATAATATAATATAATATAATATAATAAAACTCAGCTGGAAAAAAAATCAGCTGCAGAACTAGTAATGAACATCTCAGTCAAAACTAAACTGAACAGTCTTTCGACTAATAGAGCCTCCATGACATCCAACCCTCCACTGGTTTAAATCAGGCAACAGGAAGTAAGTGTGTGTGTGTGTGTGTGTGTGTGTAGCATGAGGTTAGTGGGGTCAATAATTCACGCTCACTCCAAAAAAAAAGGAAGATGATCCATCATGTTTTCAGACAAGAATTCACATTAATCATGTATGAAAATTGCACATACATGGACAAATGATTGCCCATATAAACATGTACACATAATATTCTTGAACAGGTAATAAAAAGCATCCAACAATGTGTAACAACCATCACACACCATCAGCTAACTGCAGCTGTCCAATAATACCAGATGTGTACACGCAGTTTTCACTCAAGCAACATCACTAATTTCTTTATCCATTCATTCATTCACACACTTCTATAAGGTTTAGGTGGGTGAAAGGGTTACTTGGAGAAAAACAAAGCCTCACATAACTAAAACTAAATCGGATACTCTTCTAAATATTTGCCCTGTCAATAGATTCCCCGCTGCTCATAGTCTCTCACTCTGCTCCAGTTCCCACTGGACACTGGAATAAAATCCCCCCATACACTGAAGGTAAGACAGTTGTGCGTCTGTTAGTGTGTGGTTGTGAGTCGGTACAGTGCCTCTTTGTGTAAAATACTGTCACATCATATTGAGAATGAGCTGCTGGAATATTGTGGCTTTATAGCCTGCCAAAAACCTCCAGACAGCCAGCGGTGCAACAACATCTCTGCTTAGACCACCTCCACATACTCCAACTCTACATTTCCCTCCATATTTCCGAGATTATGGGTGAATCTCACAATATACAATATAATATAATGTAATATAATATAGTAAATGCATAAATGTCATGAACATAATGCAAATAAAACTTTACTTTTTTAACATTTATTTTATGTATTTATTTTTTTTTATTTTGGGGTGAAATATGACCCAGACACATTTTCATAACATTTGCACTTTTATACCAGCATATTTACAATCCAACTTCAAGCATTAACAAATACCATCACTGTTTTTTTTCTTGAATTTTGATTTAGAACAACTACAGTTTTGTACTGCTAAGAAAACCTGGATTGCACTAAAACAGAAACAGACCTAAACCTCCAAACCTAGATATAATATCTATAACTTTTACAATCTCTAAAAGCATTAATGGTCACTTGGTAACAATAATTCAAGTTCACAACAATGACTGACATACCTTTCAGTGTTACAAATCCATCAGATGTTCAATTTGCCAAAACACAGGTGAGATCCTGTGAGAGATACACGCTTTCTGATGTGTTTGTTTGCATTAGCGTGTGAGGTTATGAATGTTTTGGATGAGTTGTCTCCAGTGCTGGAGTATATTCTACGTCTCTACACTTCTGTGTGTGAGTGGCTGAAGTTTATGCCGGTATGCTGGACTGTTTGGTGAAGAGGGAGGAGGCTAAACCAACCACCCCAAAACACACATACACACTCACATAAACACAACCCCCACCCCATGAACAGACCGGCCAAGAGAGCCTGGAGGGGTTTTGGGAAAAGGGCAGCACATCAGGAGAAGAAAGAGGGGGATGAGAAAGCGAGGGAACAGGAAAGAAAGTTAAGAGGAGAGTTAAGACTAAATTGACGAGTCAAAGTTTGAGTCTGACATTTGAAAAGTAAAAGGGCTGATTATTTTTAAAGGAAGAATGGCTGTACATGAAGTCATTTATTTTTATATTATACATTTATGACTATATTTATTTCTTTATATATTTATATTTTATTATAAATAGATAATGAAAAAAGATGGATTATAGAATGTATTATAATTTTCATGAAAAATTATAATAAGAATTTATTATAATTTTCATGATTATATAATTTTCATGAAAAAAAACAAAAAATGTATATGAAAATAAATTCTTGCTGTTCCAGGACAGGTAAAATAATTCGATAAATTACATTGTATTACATTATATTATATATGAATATATTATATTACATTATGAAACATTAAAGTCAAGAACTTGAATTCGAATTCAAATTCAAATTCGAAAAATGACTATGAAAAAATCTCTATGATCCCAAATCTATGCTAAAGATAATTCATTTTCTTTTTTTCTTGTGAAATGTTGATGAAATAAAGGAATAAAAAGTATTTCAATCAATAAAAATCTTTAAAAAAATAAAATGGATAAAATTCAAATGCAAAACACCAGCCTATATAAAATATATAATGTTTTGAGACAATCTTCTAATTGGTTATCATGCATTTTGAGATAATGAATTTACACTTTAAAACTACTGAATGTGTGTTTCTGTGTAAACAAGACCTGGTGATATAAAGTATTCATGATCTGACAGCTACTGTATAATCTGTGTTTGGAGAGGAACATCAACGTCTTAGCATGCGTTTTCTGACCTACTAAAGCAAAACCATTTGTGAACAAACACCAATACAGCTGCACAAAGACCAAACAAACTAAAGGCTTTAAATGCCCTCAGCTTATGCAAGACTAGGCCTATATGTTATTAACAAACTTTAACCAGTGACAAGATTCCATCTTATTTCAGATGATTATTTGCTTTACAGAAATCTCAGTAGCCTCACAGATGCTCTAACCACAATGTCTGTTTTACCTAAAGAGCATATTCAGTTCAGCACGATACATATGATGTAATGTGACAAACCTGTCTCTCCATTATCAAAGTGCTGTCATGAATAGAGGAAGGAGATCATATTAGCTCAACCTGTATGTGTTCATATATAGAGCAGCCTGGGGTGAACGTCTACAGCGAGTCTTTTAACCCGTCAGTCCTGATTGCACTGTGAAAACAACCACTTTGGGGCCTGGGAAATCAGATCCAACACCAGCATCATGAGAGCCTCTTTCCGTGAGGGATCTGGTTCAAACATGTTAGTGCACTTCAAGATCTATATAGCCCTGCAATACCAATCTCACTTCCATGCTCATGACATCATCAATTGTGTTGGAGATCCTCTAGTTTAAGAGACATTTATCAAAGCACACTCACTGGGAATCCCTTTTTTTCCCAGTGTCAGAGTTAAGGACTTCACTTTCAAAATGTCACAATTACAATAGCACCCATAAGACAGGCGAAACAGCGAATTTGACAGGATTTTGACGGACGTCAGGCTTATGGCCAGGTGTAATTGCAGCCTGTCACCTGGCCTGTTCTCTGTAATCTGGTAATGTTAGAAGCACCAGAATGGTTTGTAGTGTTCAAGCCACACAGGAAGACTGTGATTGTGGGGAAATAACACAAGAGGTTTAAATTGCACATTATCACAGCCAAGGTATGCAGAGAGCTTGTTTCAGCATGAAGGGGGCGTCAAATCTGTGTTTCATTGCCCCTTCAATCTGTACACTCAGTACAAGAAAGAGCTCATGCACTAAAACCGCTTTTATTACTGCCTGAAGGGCCAGAGCTGCAAGGTGACAGTATTCATTGATTTAATGTGTTCACCTGCGTCATAAGACGTCATAGGTGTATCTGAAATGCAATTGGATTCAAATCTACCCGTGAGAATTGACTCAGTAAATCAGGACAACGCTGATTCACACTGACGCAACCATAAAAACACACAAAGACCTACATCCTTCTCTAGTGTCTATCCTGAGCTTTGAAGTAAAGGCAACAGAGAGGAAAAGGTATAAATCCGTTTCAGAGTTTAAAGGGATAGTTCACTCAAAAATGAAATTTTTTGATGAATATGGGTAACCAAACAGTTCTATAGTATGGGGAAAAAAAATAAAAAATAATAATAATAATAAAAACAAATACTATGGAAGTCGATGGCTACCAGCAACTGTTTGGTTACCAACATTCTTCAAACTATCTTCTTTTGTATTCAACAGAAGAAAGAAATTCATAAAGGTTTGGAGCAACTTGAGGGAGATATAAGCATTTTCATTTTTGGGTGAACCATCCCTTTAAGAGCACAAAAAAAATGTGTCCCTTTAAAAGGCAAACATCTACTATTATATGATGATATGTTAGCAAAATACAGTACCATACAAAAGTTTGAGTTTAATACACTTTTTTAAAGAAATTGATTATTTTATTCAGGAAGGATGCATCAAATTGATTAAAAGACATTCATAATGTTACAAAAAAAAATTGTATTTCAAACGAATGCTGTTCTTTTGAATTGCACAACATTGGTAATAAAAATAAATGTTTCTTAAGCATCAAATCAGCATATTAGAATTTCTGAAGGATCATGTGACCCTGAAGACCGGAGTAATGAAAAATTCAGGTTTGCCATCACAAGAATAAATTACATTTTAAAATATATTAAAATAGAAAGCATTTTTAAATTCTAATAATATTTCACAATATTGTGTTTACTTAAATGTTAAATGTTTTTACTGTTTTTTTTTCTTCAAATAAATACAGCCTTGGTGATTATAAAAGACTTGTTTAAAAAATCTTATGACCCCAAACTTTTAAATGGTATATCCTCTTCTGAATTTGTGCATTTACCAAAACAAAGCCTAAATGTAGAAATTGGTTAACTCTGCCCAATACATTTAATGAGGTAAAAAACAACAACTACAAAAAAAAAAAAACACTGTCCTTACAAAGGTTAAAAAAGCCCCTGGATATCAATTCCAGGAGGCAAATATTGCCCCTAAATGGAAAAGTTCATTTCTGGCCCTGGTAGTCATGCATTGATTTGTAATAATATGAAAATGCATTAGACCTAAGAAAAGAACGTGAATTCATATTTAGGGAATCATACCACCCTCTAGTGGCAACACTGCAATAAAACCAGACTACAAATATCCACTTTGAGAAGTTCTCGAGTCTTCACAGAAAGCATGATTCAGTTCATAAAATTCATGCCATATGGTAATGTACAAATTTATGAACATGACAACACTAATTACAGTAAACTCAACTGACCTTTAATAGAAATATATTTACACCAAATCTGCTCCCTTTAGGCCATTTTTTTACACAATTTACACAATAATTGTTTAATAATAATGCTTTTCTAGGACCAACAAAGAATTACCACTTGTGTAAATTACCATGTGCACCTTTAAACTGCCTTTTAATTTTCCTTTCATCTCCACTAAACTACATTCAGACAACACCCATAATTATCAGCCATTGAAAAACACCATTAGTCATCTGTCTTAACCAGTGGCAACCATCTTCCACACTTACCCGCTGGTCAGCTCATCAGTGCGTGCGTTCTTAGCCAGCACGTCTCCATCACTCATGTAGCCGCTCATTTCCAGCCCCACACCTGCCAGCTCCAGATCCTCCGCCCTGTCTCCCAGCTCCAGACCACAGAGGGCGCTGCCGCGTGCTGCCAGCTGCTTCCGTAGAGGAGCCTGATACAGATACCGGCCTTGGCCGGACGCCACACCTCCGCTGCGGGACTGATAGCCGTTACCAACTGAGGGAGCATCTCCTGCTTGTAGACGGGGGCTGGACTGGCCCATGCGACTGGCCCAGGACAGCGGCGTGGGTCGAGATGCCATGCTGAGGATGCTGCGACTGCTCATTTCAGTAGTAACACCACCATCAAAAGTGGTCTCCAGTGTACTGAGATTTTGAGAAATCAAATTCATATGACATTTTAAAACTAAAATGTACCATTGTATCAAAAGTTATACCATGGTACATATCTATAGTTTCTGCAAAAATACCATGGTATTAGTTATTTTTATTACTAAAGTTATACCAACATTTGTAGGCTGTTGTAGTATAGTTAATTCCAGGAAACTACAGTTACCATGGTATTTTTCACCAAACAGTATTCAATTACAATATTTACTTAACTTATAATATGAGGAAAGATTTTATACATAGTGCTGAGGAATTGTAACCAATAGCCTGACACCGTAGGGGAACTAAAATGTCTCACTGCTCTTATTTTGGCCAAAAATGGACTTATGAAGCAGTTTACAATTACTTCATGATTCCATCATAGCAATGCAGTCTGCGTCAATTAGATGAATAATCAAAAAAGAGGAACAAAGAAGGTTTTAAGAATAGAGATGGAAAGAGCATGGTGGAGCCAGTGGACAGACTCTATTCATTTAGTCATTTACAGTAAAAAGAGTCAAGCTGAGGAAGGAGTGGCTACTTGTTACTGTCTCAAAAGATAAAATACTATGAGAAAAAAGTGTCCTTTTAAGGCAGCCTGTCTTTGCCAGTTTGATTGGGGTGGAGGTTTAGGAGAATAATATGTCTATATAATAATATATCTACCTCACTATGTGGAAATATTTGCATAATGCCGCCCAAATGTGCACGCAAAGAAAGAAGGCGTGGTTTCAGTAACCGCAGTTAGTGTTGAAG